TGAGAATAATGTCGCACAACTGAAGAGCGTAATTCTTATCTAAGAAGTTTTTATTTTCGTAGACCCTTAGGATGAACTTGCCGTGGTCAGTGGACTGCAACACTGATTTCAGTTCAGCACCACTTGTGATTAAAAGAATTGTATCTCTCACATCAGACATTTTAGGGTCATTGGGGGGTTGATGTGGAGGGAGGGTACCAGATCCCGTCTCAGGTGCTATTACAGATGAGTTTTCGGGGATAGTATTGAGAGAATCATTTTGTGCAGGAATAGATTCCTCATTTCGTAAGGCATTGACTGGTGCTTCGAGATTGGGAGGGGTGCTAGTTCCCGAAAGGGAGGAGGACTCTGGGGTGCTCAGGGCAGAGAGGTTTTCCTCATTTTGAAATACAGGGATATCAATAACTACAGGTTCAGAGTTGAGTAGAGATGCTTGAAAATCAGAGCTAGTTGAGGGTTTTTGCAAACTACTTATAATCTGAAATAGATAGAAAAGAAGAACCAAAATGAATGAAAGCTCTAGGAAGGTCTAAGTGAATTACTTACATAAAGCAAAAAGAAGCAAGACAAACAAATTTAACGAGTGGATAAAGAAAGAAATGTTGTTACGTAGCAAATTCTACTTCATTAAACTCTTGCAAGAAAAAATCCATAATGATAAAAATATTAAATAAATAATAGGAAATGATAAACTTGCTTGTCTTAATATGACGGAAGTTTTTTTTTGGGTGAAAAAAAGCAGGAAGATAATAGGCAAATAAAAAGAAATCCAAAAGAACATAAACCAAGAAAGCGAGATACTGCTCAAGAGCAGGGTTTGGTTCGGTTTACCAAATCATATGCTTACAATAATGTAATTGAAAAGTATGCAAAAAGTCGTATTCAAGGATGTTGATAAAATTTTAGTTTTAAACCTCTACTTAATATTTGCAAAATTTCTTAAGGGTGATCTTCCTCAAAGTATTTACTATTGGAAAACGTTTGGTTATAGTTTCCTTGTAAAGCGAACAGATTATTTTTTCTCAAAGGTTGGAGAAAATTTTGGGCCTGAAGCAAAAGGTAAAATGCCCATAATTATAAATCTTCAAGTTCAAAGGTTAGACAACATTAGTGAAATAGTGTAGAAAAAACTTGTCTGTGCTATTCTGTTTGACAGAATAATGAATTACTAATTTTGATGGCTGGAATGAGCGATTGAAATTGATATTGGAAACTCACGTCTTGTAAAGATGAAAAGAACTGAAGTTGTACTCCAAGAGGCAACTGTAAGGAAGCTAGATCTCCCAATTGCTTTATACAGGGAAGCACATCATCAGACACAAGGGACTCTGCAAAGAGATAAAAAGAAATATTTAATATCAGTGCAAAAGAAAGGTTACAGCAGAATAAAATACAATGAATCCACAAAAAAAAGACTTGAACTCTGCTGAATTAGTTGAAGTTCAAAAAAATGTAAACGAGTGCAATCCCCTCCCCCCCTGAAAAAAAGGAGGAAAATCTGGCATGTTTCCTGCCAAAAGTCGAATTGGGGCAAAATGAAATGAAAAGTGGCTATCTCTTGGCTTCACTTATAAATACAAAAACAAATGAAAACGCAACTTGAAACGGCCAAGCCTTCTTCTATTTAGCGAGCTAAATTCAGAAGTCAGCCTCAGTCTAAAAGTCCCTATGGTTGATGAAAAATGATATAGGTTGGCACATGAAATTCAGTCTCAAACATTCTCAACAAGTTAGAGGGATAATGGAAGCCTTCATCGCTCCTTTTCCTGTGTTGAATTACAGTAAAATTGATGAGTAAAATTATGATCTTTTGGATCTAGTTCATTAAAGCAAAATAACAGCTGATATGAAATTTAAATTTCCCCTGGAAAATTCGAAGTTATAAAATAGTGGAATGAAAAAATACCACCTTCAAAAATGTATTCTACCTATGCAGGATTTAAGAAGCTTCAAGAAGTTTTGAAGAATGTTTCAAGAAAACATGAGCAGCAAATACAACGAATTACTTGTGATGGTTGGGATGAAAATAATGAGAATTTGAAAACATGATATAGGTACGTACTGGTGGGGAAATGAGCAGAGGAGGTGTGGGTTTCAAGTACTGGTTCCTTGGAATGCGGGGGAAAATGTTTCCTGCCTTCTGGCAAGCCAAATAGATATGTCCACTGAAGAAAAATATGAACCTAATAAATGAGTCTAAATTTTTGTATTTGCACTCGCCCTTCATATTTCTGTAAAAATATCATTAGCCTGAAATTCTGAATTTCTTTAATGAAATTAACTGACCTCTCATGAATCCTATCTCTCG